GCCAAAAGATGCACGAGGAAGGCCATTTTCCATCCTTTTGGCGTTTAGAAGTTTCAAAACACTTTCCCACTCATGAACACTATGCTTGCTACAGCAGCCCTATGAGGAAGGCAGTACCCCCATTACACAGATAAAGACCCAAATACAAAGATTTGCCCCACAACCCACCACAAACCAGAGGCCAAACCAGAGTCAAAGTTCAATATTGATGCTTCTGGACTTACAGTGGGATAAACTCACAGTAAATTGAAAATCCTGAAGTTAAAAGTACATTCAACACACCTAACCTATGGGACATTCCAGCTTAGCAACACAGTACACCTCAGAGTATCTGACATTAGCTTAATCAATAGTCTATTACTCTCTGTTTTGACGTATTTTTTTCTTCTAGGTATTTTTTTCCCCTCCAGCTTCCTGATTTAAACCAGTAGGACTGCAACTCCTAGTTGACTTGACCATACTCTGTATGACTTCTTACTTGGTTTCAGTGAGTTTCCATGCTCTTCTGTTCATTCACTTCAACATACTATATCACTTGCTCCCTCCCTGGTGGGAAGCTTTCCAATGCAGGTACCCCTTTCCTCCTAGAATCCCCCTTTTTTGGAATAAAACATGAGCTCCCACCACCCTCTGCTGCCATCTCATGGCTAGAATAAGCCATTGCAATGGACTGGATCCCTTTGCTCTAGTTCCTTTCAGAGTTCTTCCTACTCAAGACAGAATTGTAACATCTACCAGAAAGCTCCATTGGGCACATTTTGACTGTTGTGCATACAGTGGTGCCTCGGGTCACGAACTCGATTCTTTCCACGATTCTAGTCGCAGAGTTGGAAGAGAACCAAGTCAGATTCAATGGTTAGGTTCAATGTTGACCTTATGGGGAAATCTGATTCGGTTATCATCCAGTTCGGTTTGTGACCAGAATAATGGAGAGAACTGAGGTCGTGAACCGAGGTGCCACTACTAGCAATGAAAAAATTACTTTAAAAACTATGTGTTCTGAAATAGCTTTCAGCATCTAGTCTCACTTTCCTCCATTTGGTTCAAATTAGTTTGAAATTACAGAAATGGCTTCCAGTTGACTTTGTGAATCCGCACCTGTGCTGCCATTGCTATTTGAAGCCCCAATTGGGGACCAAGTCTGCTAGCTAATTACAACAGAGCTAGTGTAGTACAAAATGTCTCAGTAATCCCTGGATAGGAATGCATATGACTTTGTTCCATAAAATTCATCATGTATGAACTATTTGAGTAGAAAAACATCAAATTGTGTTAGAGACTACATGTAAAATGTAGACGCTACTTCCAATCATAATCTGGGCCTAAGCTCCTTGCCAAATGTATTTCTTGATCTCAAATGTCTGCTGCAATAGAGGAAGAGGGAAGCTGCACTGTTTAAGGAAAATACCATTCAGCAAGCTCACTGCAGTGGTGAGGGAAGGAAATTGTTGGAACCTTTCTGCCACTTTGGGAAATTTGCACTGCACTGATTTCCTCCTCTTCGGAATCCAGTCTGACTGACAACTACAAAGCAAACAAAACTCATTCTATCTGCTGTCCTTCTGCAGAGCTGTCTTTTAAAATACACCCTTGCTCACAACCAGACTATCTTTTGAAGAGATGACATCTGATGCCGTGAAAGTTTGATCCATTTCAATGTGCAGCCATTCACTCAAGGAGGAGGCAGCAGTTCTTGAATGATCAGCAGACTTTCTGCAAACTACCTTCCAATCTTCCTGTAGCTGATAATTGCTCTTCCTTCTTGGTCCTCAGCTTCCTCCCTAGGATGGGGGAGAACTCACTCCCACAAGTTTTCTTTTTTTTCCCCACAAGTTTTCTTTTCTCAAAGTGGACTAAAGGAAGAAGTGTTTGTAGCTGCAAATTCCCCAGCTTCGAGTTAGCTGACTTCTTTTAGAAACATAAAATGATAACTTGATTCTAATTTCTTTAGAAAACAATAGGCCTTGCAGGGGAGGTTGATTTCAGGACTCCAACCCTCTCACACAGCAAAATCCTCCTCCATGCTCAAGTCCCTTACATAAAGTAGCATAGTATTATCATATTATTCCACATACTTCACACTTTAAATCATCCCTAGATTATTTAAATACCTAATGCTATGAAAATAATGTGTAAGTAACTGTTACACAGCATTGTGTAGCAAATGACAAGAAAAAAATCTGTACATGTTCAGTGCAGATGCAATTTTTTAAAATATTTTTTATCCAAGATTGCCTGAATCTGAAGATGCAAGGGACTAGCTATGCTACTTTACAAAACTCTGAATGTTGACCGTATGTCAAGGTGACCCTCCTTCCAGTCTCAATGTACACGCTGAACAATTTAAAATCATCTGAAAATGACCAGTTAGGAAATTCAGTGTGGGACTAACTTGTTTCATCCTGCTGTAACTTGTTTTCTTGCTGAGTGGCTCCGCAGGAGGGAACAAGTTGGACTGAGGCAGAGAAAGATTGCTCTTTTCTGGCCATTGCCCCTTCCTAACGCAGCCACTGGAAGCTCAATGCTGCTGGCTTTTTATTCATCCTCACAGCCTGCCTTACTTCTCAAAAGCCCGCCTTGACCCCCAGATCCCCTGCTCCTGCAAGGAGACTTCCCTCATTTACCACCATCTCTTCAGGCAGTGGGAACTTGTCAATGACTAGGGAAGTGTATTCCTAGCTTTTTACTCCTAAATGAGCACTTATTACAGGGATTCATGCACAGTAGGTATTCAAATGTTAATTACTTCATTCATTGATTCATTCATTCATTTTGTGACCCTGGAGATTGAGCCCAGGGCCTTGGCCCTAAACTATACTCCCGGCCCTTTTAAAAAATTTTTATTTTGAAACAGGGTCTCACTAAGTTGTGAAGTTGCTCAAGAGGGCTTGAACTTGCAATCCTCCTGCCTCAGCCTCCCCAAGTGCTGGGATTACAAAAGTGTGCCATCTACACCCAAGTAACTACTTTTATTATTATTATTTAACCTTTCTGAGCCTCAATTTTCTTATCTGTAAAATGGCCATAATAATAGTACCAACCTCCTAGGTTTATTGATACACATGTGCTTCCACTGATAGTGGTGTTATGTTTCCTCAACCCCATCATAAATTGACAATATTGTAAGTCGAAAATGCATTGAATATACCCAATATATTGAACCTGGTAGCTTAGCAACACTATACACTGTAAAGTTGTCAGCTGCTTTCCCTGGTGATTGTGGTGCCTGACTTCGAGCTGTGGCTCATGGCTACTGCCCACAGTCACCAGAGGATCAGATGGCATACAGCTAGCTGAAGCTAATATTGAAATTTTAAATCTCAATTCATATCATTTCTATGCCATCATAAATTGAGCTATCATACATCAGGAATTGTCTGTACAAGCAAATTGCTTTTTAAAAAAATAAATGCAGAGATGTTCCTTGTTCAAGGTTGCTAGATTCAACACGGTTATGATGACAATTAACTCTAAACATGTTCTAAAGATCCAGTCCAAACACAATAATATTCCCAGCAAAGTGTTTCTAACCCAGACTAGATCACATACACTGAAGATCAAAGAAAGAATTTGAATTCATACATTTAAATGTTAACACTTATAACAAAGGTACTTAGACCCATGTAAATATAGTCAGCTTAATTTGTCAGAAAGGCGAAGGCAATTTGGTGGAGAAAGGGAAGCACTGTTCCACAAATCCAAGGTGGACCAACAGCAAACGATACAGAAAGCATTGACGTATATACAAACTTAATAACTTACATAAAAACTTAATCAAATAGTCAACAGACATAAATTTAAAACCGACATAAATTTAAAAATACAAAACTAAAAGTTCTAAGAAAAGAAACTCAGTGTGACCTCGTGCTTGGTGATGAGTTTTTGGATACGACACCAAATCCAGCCAGGCATGGTGGCCCTCTGCTTGTAATCTCGGGAAGGAGGCTACGGCAAGAGGATCGAGCCTGGGCGATTTGGCGATTTGGCGATTTAGCAATTCAGCGATTTATCCAGACCCTGCTCAATAAGAAAAGTTGGGGGGGAGCTTGGGATGTAGCTCAGTGTGAAGGTACTGAAATCTCAGTACTTGAATCCTCACTACTGAAAACTAAGTCCACTCCACAAAAAAATGGCAAAAGCCTGATAATTTCAATTTTTATCAAATTAAAAATACCTACTCCTTGACAACCCCCCCCCCCCCCCCCATACTGAAAATTGAACACAGGGCCTTCGCACTGAGCTACATTCTCGGCCATTTTCATTTTTTTGATTTGTTCGTTTATTTGTTTAAAACCCGGTTTCTCAAGGTCCCTAAATTGCCTGGGCTGGGCCCAAACTCGTGATCCTCCTGCCTCTGAACCCCAAGAGTGCTGAGATTACAGACTTGTACCACCGCACCCACATTACGATGGAAACTCTTAAAAGAACAGGTCAGGGACTGGGATAAATGATTTTGGGGGAAAACAGCTGAAAAATTACTTGTATTTAAACTATAGTTTTTAAAAGAACCTCTAAAAATCAAGTAGAGGGCAAAAAAATCCAATTAATCCAAAAGCGCATGAACTGTCCAAACAGCATGCGGGTTTTTATCCCACAGCGGCGTAGACGCTCTGTCTCCCGCGTCTGAGGGGGCGCGTTTCCCTCATTCTCCATCACTCTTCCTCCGAGTTTCTATAGTCCGTGGGCTACAGCTTGATGTAAAGGGGGGTGGAGAGGTCTAAATGTACTCATACGTAATCTTGGGGGGGGGGGGGGGGGGCGGTTGGACTTTGAGTCCCACGGAGCATTTGTAAAAGTGGGACAGCAGTACCCCTGTTGCCCAGGCGGAAGATCTTGGGCGCTTGCAGCTGCCACAGGTCAACCAACCACAGGTCCTGGTTGGCCTGGCATTTTAGAACCAAGCTGGTCGGCCACTCAGCCTGGGAAGGTGTTCAGCTTGAATTTACAAAGGAAAACATCCCCCAGGTTCCCCCGGCAGCACGGTGCTCCCCAAGATTTACCTTGACTTAGACAACGAAGGTGTGTAGGACTCAGCAGGTACGAGGCAACTCCTGGTCCCAGTTCCGAACGCCCCAAGACCCTAGTAACGGGCAACCAGCGGCGCCGCCATCTTAGGCCAAGGACTGTGAAGAAAATATCCCAAGTGGGGGCGTGGTAGTACAGTGTCCTCGCGGGGGGGGGGGGGGGGGGGGCTTGGTAGTACACGCTCCTGGGTGGCGGTGGCCCATGCCTGGGAGGCTGAAGCACCCCTGGGAGGCTGAAGAAGGTGGATGACAAGTTTGATCCCAGCCTGGGCAACTGAGAGACTTAAGAGAGACTCTGTCTCAAAATGAAAATAAATAAAAGGCAAAGGCCATGAGTTCAATCCTCAGTACGGGGATGGGGGATCCAAGGCATAGGGAGCTCTGTGTACATTTTGTCTGTGACTATCAAGATTACAACTAGAAATAAGAACCAAAATACTCATGTAACAGTACAAGATCCCAATGATGTATGTAAATGTATTTTATACCTAAAATCTACCAATAAACTTAATGGGGAAATAAATAAAATAAAATATCTTTTGACTGGTTAAATTCCCAGTACCAAAAAAATATATATGTATATATTCACATACACAAAAAAAAGAGATAGGTCTTTTACAAAAGGAAATGGGCAGGGTATGAAGAATTAAGATGTGTTATGTACATATAACCACTCCCCACAATGAATGTAATCATTTTGTGCTACAAATGTGTACTAATAAAAGTTTAAAAACTAAAAAAAAAAGATTACAACTACAGAAATGCCTTGAGGTCCTATAGAATTCAGGTGAAAAGAGGAACCATGTGTATTTTGGAGGGAAAAGAGTTCTGTTTGGGTCAGCTACTTGTGCAGCCAAGAGGAAAAGCGCCACTAGGCAGCTGAAAATCCAGGTCTAAATTTTAGCAGGGAGGGAGAGAGAATTTTTTTTTACTTTAACACAATACATGCCTTCAAAGTCCTTTGAGGTGTGAAATGACATATGCAATAGTGTTCCTCCCCTACAGAAGCTTACCCTCTGCTAAGAAGACCTAGTCACAGGAGCTACAGACAAGTAAGTGTAACACAAGGCAGGGTCTGAGAGGTACTACAAGGAAGAGCAAAGTGGTCTGAGCTCAAGGAGGAGGGACAGGTCAACTCTGGCTGGAGCAATCAGGGAAGACTTCCAGAAGGAAATGATAACATTTTCCAATGATTTCATGATTTTTTTTTTCAGCTTTGCCTTAGGACTCTAGTGCCTGCTGATTTATTCCATTTCTGAACACCCTAAGTTCCCAATGTGCAGTGCCTCGGGAGAAAGTGGTAATCTTGTCCTGATATTAAATGGACCCAGACTGACTGACTACCTTTTATTCTGCCTCTTCTTTTATAAAATGGTAACAGGAGATTAAAGAGACATGGACTTCTTTTCATATCTTTGCTTGGCAAAATAATCTCTGGATTTGCAGGGGATTGGCCTTAACCAGTCTGTGAGAGCCAACCATCTGGGAACCTGACATGTTTACCATCTGTACTGCTTACTAGAGTATCTGAATACAACTGTCATTGTCCCTTTCTCTTGTTTCACACCAGTTAGACTGGTGTCCCAAGGAGCTTCTGCAGGCTAGAATCACCAGAGCTAGGCTCAGAGCAGGTATTCCGAAGTACTTCTAGAAAGGCTTAACTTCGTTGCTTGCAGTTAGCTAGTCAAATTCTGTTCTGCCTTGGGGTCAGCATGTGACACAGTCAGTGAATTCAATTGATTATTTACACAGCTGTAGGAACAAAAGTCACATACAGCAGACTGGAGAGGCTAGGGAGAGAATTCTCACTCCATGAACGAAGTCAGAACACTGCTGAGGTAAAATCCAAGCTATTTGTCCGTTTTCTGGTATTGGAATGGGCTCTTTCTCGTAGAACCTGCCACTCTTCCTGTCAAGAGTTATTCCTAGGAGGAGCAAAGAGCTACTGAGTCCCTCCATGTAAAACCCAGATTTATCTCAAAGGAAAAGAAAAATTGAGGCTTTTCCAAAATTTCTGTACAGTTTGGAAAAATACTGTAATTTTTAGCCCTTACTTGGAAGTATTGCAGAATTGAAACATTACAGAGTGAACAACAACTATATTTGAAGGCCTTCTGCAGATTTGTGCAGAAGATTTGGACAGATGGAAAAAGTGGATCCCCTATCTGTCTGGCCTGGGGCTAAATCAGCTAGCTAGGATCTTTAGTGCCTCCTCTATGTCCTTACTTAGGCCCCTCTTTTTTGTTGTTTATTTGTTTGTTTGTTTACCTTTCCTAGCTACTACTCAAGAGCCCAATCTAGGGAAAGCCCCATCATTTTCTAACTTGGCTGGTAGGCAGGTCCCTTAGCTGGCTAGTATGACATACCCACTCTAGGGGTATTTAATAGCTTAATATATTGCCACTTTCTACAAACATAAATATAGTATCACTGCCTTAACCCAAAGACACTTCATTGTGGTAAGACCAATGGGAAAGATGTTAGGAAATACAACTTTCTGCATTTTTCAGATTATACCATCCATGGATTGTGAGCAAGTGCAGTGTTTAAGCACTTGGTCTATGAAATTTTACAGCCAAACTTGAGCAGGTGGGGCGCAAGGTAGGTCTACTGTCACAAGACAGGCCGATGCCACCCCAACCTACCTGCTCCCTGTCCCTGCTTGCTGGCATGTCCCAGAAGCCCCATTCCTCATGTGGTCATGCAGCAGTCGCAGTGCTCCCCCGGACAGCACCAAAAGTGATACAAACAGGGCCGGGAATTTAGCTTAGTGGCACCGCACCTGCCTTGCAATCATAAGGTCCCGAGTTCAAGCCATGGTACCAAAAAAAAAGTGATATGAACAAGGCATATTGAGAATACAAAGGAAGTTTCCTGGAGACAGCAATACCTGAGTGGACCACTAAAAGAGATGTAGAACTTGTCTAGGTACAGGGGTGGAGAGGGAATAGGAGTGAACAGCCAAAGCAAAACAAACAATAGGACTGAAGGCATAGAGGTAAAAAGAACATGACTTGTCTGGGGAACAGTCTTAAGGTGGCTGCATCTTGAACTGCAAGGCTGGAGAGTTAGGCAGGGGTGAGAGTAGATCAAAATGACCTAGTCTTGGGTCATTATAAATAGTATAGACTCATTTTAATAGCAATGAGGAACCATAAGCTGTTGGGGAATAAGGGATGTAAAGTAGTTTAATAGAGTGGTTAACACTATAGAATCTACAGCTTACATTAGTTCAACTCCTGGCTTTTCTCTTACTAGCTGTGTAACTTCTATTAAGTCTTCTAGTCCATCAAATGTGCAATGTCTTTCAATTATTTCTTTTTTTTTTGTTTCATCCAACAGTGTCTTGTAGTTTTCAGTGTATAAGTCTTACACTTCCTTTCATAAATATATTCCTTGGTAGGAATTGTATTTTTCTGATGGGATTATAAATGGATTGGGGGGTCCTAGGTATCGAACCCAGGGTCTTGTGTACTTTAGGCAAGCACTCTAGCCCTGAGCTTTATTCTCAGCCTTTTTTGATGAACAAGGTGTTGCTAAGCTATTGAGGGTGGGCTCAGATTTTTTTATCCTACTGCCTTAGCCTCCCAAGTAGCCTAGATTACAGGCATGTGACACTATGCCAATTGTAAATGGAATTTCTTTCTTAAATTCAATTTAGGTCTGTTTATTGCTAGTGTGTAAAAACTGTCAAAAGTGTGGACAATAGGACACTGAAAACATTTTTCATTATGGACAGTAGGACAACGAGAACACATTGGGTCCCATGTTTACTATGTCTAAAAACTAACATTTCAAGATGTGTAAACACAAACTTTCCCAGAAACACAAGTATGGAGTGTGCTGGGTTGCTCTTCACAACCAAGGACATGGTTTCAAATGGTGAAGGGCAAACCCATCCCCTTTTCCTAACATAAAAAAAATCCCCTTCAGGCTATAGTGCTGTTCTGTCTCCTGATTTCCCTGTACTTAAATAAATTTCCTCTGCATTTATTCTACTCTTGGGAAATTCTTTTACCATCCATGTAGTCAGACTCCCATATGCTATCAAGCATGACAGTTTGGTGACTCATATGAGAAGTCTCTCTCTCTTGCGTCTCTTGGCTTCTCTTCACTCTGGTACTTGTGTGTGGTTGGCAGATTGACCCATCAGCAGCTGAAGGTCCCTGGCCAGGGTAACGCTGGACTATGATCCCAGCCACTATGGCCCATCAGGATATGTGCTAAGGAGTTCCTTTTGGCCCTTTACAGAAAGACTTATTTCCTGTTTGTTACTGACAGACTCTGGCCAGGGCTACATTCCTATGTGACAAAACAGTAGCAGAAAAATGAAATATTCTACAAGGATAATGAACCATTTTTATTCTTTCTTGGGTCTTCTCTTCCTACATGTGGTACAGTTGGCAGCAGTAGCTCATCCATTACAAATTCACACATGCTGGGATCCCAATATCTCAAATTTTTTCCCAGAGAGGGCCCTCTCTTAATCCAGACCTACTTTGGCCAGCACTGGTCATCGTCATCATCTCATCATATTGATGAGTTTTCATTGTCCTTTGGGTAGTTGCCAAATGCAAAGAACCAATAACCTCCATCTCCATCTTTGCTCCTCAGTCATAGTTACGGAGTCCAGCTTGACCACCCAGACATGTCAGGCCTAATCTCAAAGTGATTCCAAATTTATAGAACTGGGAGTCTATTTCTTCAAGTTTGAAAGGACCTCAAATTCAAGGACATCCATAATCAAGGGAGCTTTTACTTTCACTCAGATTCTGCTACTCACTTGGGTTGGCTGAGGAGTTTTAATAGATGACCCTTGTTACTGGTCAGGAAACTTCTTTCTTGTGATTCACCCCTTGGGTGCCTTCTCAAAATTCAGCCCTTAGTCCCCGGTCACAGGGGACGGGTCCCATTCAGGCCACGCCAGCCAGGCACATCCGTGGACACCGCAGAGGGGTCCCTGGTCACAGGGAACCGGCCCCATCCAGCCCGCACCCTTGGCAGCGATCCACGGAGCCTGCAGGACCCCCCCCCCCCCCCCTTGCTCCTCTGGCCTCTTGGCTGTACTGCCACCTGGTTCTGCACTACAAA